GAAGACTGTATCAAAAAAGTTATCGAATATGACATAAAATAGTTCACATAAATATACCTATGCGTTTGTGCTGGGTAGAGGAATCTAACCCGGTTATGTTTCATATATAGCACGTACTTTCATTTACTGATTCCAGATAATTTTGCTATGACGGTTTATAAACTTAGAAACTAATTTTTGAATATAAGATTTGGATAAGTTGGCTCCAAACACGGCCAAGCGTGTTTTTATTTCTCTAGATAATTTTAACCCAGCAATGTGGTTTCTTTACATAACTTAAGTCTTTCTCATTTGCACTAATCTTAAATTAGCAAAAAATCTAGCTTTACATAACGTTATCACTAACAAAAGTATAGATTAAAAGCATCCTTGAAAATTTCAACTAAATATACATAGAGAAAAATTCTCTCTGAATTAATTCAAATACACTCCATAGATTACTTCGAAATGTTTTTAGCATTACAGACATTTCAATTCATCTATTTCAAATTCACTGAACTTCGTCGAAATGTAGAATCGTTATATCGCCCTCACTCGCATTTAGATCTTAAGAAAATATACGGAGAACTTGGTCTATATTTTTCTGGCAAACAGGGCAAGAATTATTTTCATCTTTGATGCGGTTGGCACACTCCATACAAAACAAGTTATGGCCGCACGGAACGAGCGCAGCCACAACTTCACTTTCACAACAAATGACGCAATCCTTCTTTTTCATATCTTTACCGAGCGGGCTTAATGTGGTGTTGTTATTATTCGCTTCCTCTGCAGAATTAAAACCAATGGTACTCACCCCGTTGGTTTCGCTCGCACTGACAGTTCCATTGGAACTTGTAGCTGGAATAGATGAAACATTGGACGTGGTAACCTGGGTGGTGAATGGCGTAAATGCTGACAATGGAGAAAAGTTTCCATTAAGAGGATCGCTTTTCATGCGTCTTGCAGCGGTATGTGGGCTTGGAGGCCGACCGATTGCTGAGCTCATGGCTTGGCTATTTAAACTGGAGCTTCGTGTAAATGCTGCCGGCTCGTTGATGGAGCGAGTAGACTGCACGTTTCCCCAGATGGACGGCGACGGTGGAGCGGGTGTAGGATCAAATCCTGAACCAGTCGAACTCCCCTCTGATCCAACATCGCGGTCCGTCGGAGAGGGCAGATCACTGAAGAAGAAACCATTCGCTGAAAATGGGCTGTTGATTGGATTAAACCCGCCATCATTGATGCTAGAACTCTTGCTGCTGGGGTAGCCGTAGAATGAATCCGAGCTTGTACGCTGGGGCAAACCGAGCGAACTGCTGCTTTCTCTAAACGCAGAGAAGCTTGACGACACGCTGGAATATATCGAACTGGGAGTGAAATCGTTGAAAGAGCCTTGTAGTCCATCATTGATGAAAACGTCATCCCCTGTATCCACTCTACCGCCGGTACGCGAAGTAATGTGGTTGTCGATTTCTTTTCGCGCACTTTCGACGTTGTCAGGCATTCCAGTGACTTCAAACACAGGCTCCTTGTCTCTTGATGGAGTTACGATGTAAGTGTTCGTTTGCTGCTGGATTCGTTTGATTGTGGCTCCTTTGGGACCCACGACCAGACCAACAACTCTATACGGTACTCGAACGTGGATTGTAGTTTGTCCGGGAGTTGTGGGGCTTGGTGGCCCAGGAGCGAGTGAATTCAGGCTGTTGTTCTTTCGTTGAGCTCGAATTTGCGAAAAGTGCTCTGCAGCTGAAATAATTTCGCGTTTGGCCAAAGCTACATCTTCTTTTCTCCCCGTTACTACGAAGACAGGATCTTCACCACGTACAGGTGTTTTGATGTATGTGTTCGTCTTCGCTCGCAAAGCCTTGATTTTGCAACCTGAAATATAGCCAAGCATAAAAACACGTCAAATACACGCGGTTTTCGCAAGTCACTCAGCTAATTTGATTACATGTTAACTAGAGACTCCAAAACGTACCTTGTCTTCCAACTATCTCGGCTACATGTTCGGAACTCGGTACAGGAACGCACTCAGTCATGTTCATACTTTTCTTATTACGAATATCGTCAAACGCGTTCGAAGTTTGATCGTCGTCATTTGTTAGACCAAGCATGGAGAGCTCGAGGGCGATTTGCAGAGCTCTCTGATCTGCCTCTAATTGCCCGTTTGTGGAGCGGTCCATTTCGACAAGAAGTGAGCTCGGCATATGGAAACAGTTGCTCCGTGAGCCGTCAGCTGCAACTCCGTAATTGTGCCGTGGTTATGTTGCGAGGTTCGAACCACCTCTAGATAGTTCTAGTTTTGCTTCAAGTGAAAGCCGGAATAGACGTCATTTGGTTTTGACCTCAAGTCAGGCCATAATGCACCACTCATTAGCAACATCTGCTACACGTGGGGCTCTTGTCGTGCTCTCATTGGTTGGAATTGGCGGGAGGTGCAGCGTCTTGTCAATTTCAACCGCCGCTTGTCAAATATGTGTCGCAGTGTTGATTGGGAGAGTTTAAAAGACCATCACGCCCTTACCATCGAGTTGATATATTATTTCCTGATTCAGTTTGAACAAGAACCATAACAAACACACCCTACTGTTTTCTGTACATTCTTGTGGACAGCTAACAGGACGAATAATCTTCATCAAAGTCGCATCGCAAAATAGGGCATCTTTATAGCGGAAGTCTAATATGCAAAATCTTCCCGAGTATTGTTGTCACCTTGTCTGTAGCACACCCAATATGCAAAATAAGAACATTGTTTATGATCGCGTCTTCACATCTGCTAAGCGATGCGAAAGAAGAAGCGAATAACAATTATTCAAGTAATGCAAGAGCTCTATGCAGTTGGTTCTCACAAGCAAAAATTTTTTTCAGGAAGGAGTCATATCCACAGGGCAACATAGAGTTCTATGTGTTTCGTTTTAGCAGGTGAAAGAGAACTAACCACGGCAAACAATAATCTTGAGTCTTAAGCATATGAGGCCACCCGCGAACTAGTAATTTCCAAATTCCTTACGACCTCCTAAAACAGCTCAGGAAAAAACTTCTTTGTCATGGGCGTCATTTGTATCAGTAACACGAGTAACAAATTTGAACTGATTATCTTTATTCTGTTGTCATTTTTGCCGGTTTAGAGCATTTCATAACTTTTTCCATATACACGATCGGCTGAACAAAGGTTATGATTTAAACATAAGGGGTTTTGAACATTTGTAAACCATCGGTTCAAATCTATCAATTTCCGAAACAAACATACATACAGCCTGCGAGACCATTGGACTATAATTTACACGATGATCCAAGACGGCGAGGCAATGTTTCTCAAAATTCATTATTTTCGACGCAAATTATATGCAGCTCCAATGTTTATTCGTAGAAGAGCTGTCAAATTTAAATTCATAGATCTATTATTAGGCTGTCGAGTTTGGCTGTGAGTTTGGATATTGACTGAATCATCTCATGCATAAAGAATATCGTCGAATACATGCACGCTGAACCCGTCGAGTTGGGGAGAGACTTTGAGGAGCATACAGCCGTCTTGTCTTGGCTCTCGTGTCCTTGAAATATATTGCTGATAGAAAGCTGAACACCGGATTTTCTTTTAAAACATCAAATTTTGTTCTTTTCGTATATAAAGGCTTGCATGATATCCTTGAAAACGAAATCTTATCTTTTATTACATCTAATGCCACACAAAACTTCAGCAAACAGATACAAACTACTATGAATGGGAATCATGACCACAGATCATTTAGAATAAAAACACCATCCTTAAAGTCTCCAATGGTGAGTGCTTTAATTATAGATATTCTGTAAAATGAATGAAAAACAAAACACTTTGCAGTTGACAGAACTAATTAATCTAGTTTTGCCTGATATACAATCCATTCCGTGGCCGTTTAAAAAAGTAAAGAAACACTTTGTTTTGCAAATGCCGTGCCTTCTCTCTTTCTTCTTCGAAAATGGGGCTTAAGCTCTGCTTGCCAAACATTATGTTTTATCAGTGATTATTCAAAAATAGCTCGAGAGGTGCAATCGGCTGCATTATACTGGAGAATGAATGAGGTTTTCAGAACAAGCAGTGACCACGATCGCCTTTTATGCGGTGAGCTTTGATGTTTCTTGCTATCAGATTACTATTATGGAAAGCTTTGTTAATAATCGTATGCGGATTTAAGTGGAGGAGGCGTGATTCACCGTCGTGTTTACGACACATTGTTCGTAAAAACCACAGAAACCATCAACAGCATTGCATAATAAAAGGATGGAAATTAAAAACTGGTGACGATTGTTTTCGTGCTCTTGACCTAGAAATATAGTTTTAACAGAATTGAAGAGTTCGTAACCAAACCAGGACACACAATTTAACATCAATAGTAGGGTAATTAATTTTCATTCATCACCCTGTCGAACTTAAGACTCTTTTCAATTTTATTCACCCTATGCGGTACCTCTGCATCAAGTTAAGTGAAAACCAAGTCACTGAGTTCATTTACAGAGCTGATTGGATCCACAGAAAGTGTTATGACGGGTATTAATCTACCACTCAGCACAGCACTCGACAGTAAATGAAGGCTCTTTTCACAAAAAGGTGCGAGTTGACCGTTTCGAGCAATTAACTTCTGAAAATTTATCTTCATTTAATATAATTCGTTTTCTGCCTCCTGCATGTCTTGTGACCCAGATTTGTAACCAAGAGTAAGCAAGGAATGACTGATGTTTGTATTGGCCACATATCGTGCTAACTAACGGTTACCATTTTAAATGGCCGTTTATTCAGTTGCGAAATGTAGATTTACTACACTAACTCCACCGCCCAAAGGTTGGCTCTTAATGGGTAATTAATAATCTAACTTTCTATTGAAACTGACAAAATGAGCACTGCATTGAATATAAAGCTTAATTAGCTACGGTCTTGACGTGGCGCTGGTATTTCTAATTGCAACCCCCGCAAGGGAAATTCGTGACTTTAGCGCTAGTTCCAAACTTCCTTTCCCACTGAATCGTATCTCCTCTGGTATGTAAAACCAAGGTCATTTTTTATCGAATGATATTAATCTAGTACGTACTTTCCAATTGTTATATTGGACTTTCCACGTGCGATTTTCTTGGAGCTCTAAGTGTATTGACGTCAACTCAGCTCTGTGTCTCTCTAGGAGCCACTAAGCTGTGTACAGGTCTACTATAGAACTGAGAGAAAATATCTTGCGAGTTATATAACAAACTGCAACAGATGATAGAAACAAAGACGTCAACTCTCGAACTGAGTTATTGTTTGCCAAAAAAAGCGTAATGGCGATAGACCGCTGATAATGGCCAAGACGTTATTGTTTTGTAGATGATTTAAAATGTGGAAAAATGATTTAAACAGTAGTTGTCTATAGGCATTTATAAGTTTTAACTGACACTATGATAGTTTTTGCTTTGGCGAAAATACATTGTTACTCATTCCCGGAACAATTCTAAAAACCAGGCTTTGGCAGTAAGCCGCCTGCCCTCTGCGACTATATCACGGGAAATTAAACTGAAGTTGATTGACAAATAGTGCCGAGCTATATTCTACAAATCAGGCCAAACTTAAGAGACATAAATGAATTAACGACTCGATTAAGTGTTCCAAGAAGGTGTTCAAGTTTGAAACTAGCGCAATCGCAACTTGTATATCATTCACGAATTTAGTTGCATCAGGCCAGTCATTTCAAAGAAAACTAAGGACTCCTCTTCCTAGGAGTAAACGTATATTCACTGAAGCTTGGGAAAGACTTGCTTTTAATAAGACTGCAGAGTGATTTCTATTTTCTGAGTCATTCGAATCTTGCGATCAGGTGTTTTTTTCCCCAACCACTAAAGCAGGTTATGGATGACCGGATTCCCTGTAAACAGACAATTAGATTTTTATTTGACCATTTTTTTCTTTCCTTCTGCCCATCGCTGTCCAACACAACGTTCCATTTGGAAGAAATGATAAAATAGCTTTTTTTAGACGTTCTTACAAGGCAGTGAAAAATTTTCTGACATCCTAAATGGAAAAAGTTATGTCTGCCGGTACGCGGTGAGTAGTCTAGGTTCGTGATGCTTGTTCAAAGAGATGGATTCGAACAAAACCAAGTCCTTCTCTGAAAAGAGTTAGCGGCAATATCTCAGGCATAGAGTCATATGGCTCCTCTGTCATTTTTTTGTATCAGTATTTGAACTAGTGGAAATCCCAATCTTTTACCATGGCATACTTGTAGATACATGATCTGCAGCATCATTACGAAACTCGGTGCGTGTGAAGCAGCAGTGTTTCTATTGGCCAGAAACTAAAGTAAATAACTGCTGTTCGTAGAAAATGCACTCTAACTGACGGCGCTACATATTACCCAAGCCGTAAGAAGACAAGTCCCGGCTCTGAAGACTGATCGAAGATTGGTTTACCATTTTAACATGTAAGTTTAGTTCTCACTAAACATGCCAGCGAAACCAGCCGTCTGTCGGTAGAAATTATTTGAAAATAATGTAGAATATTTATATGTTCAAGCAATTCTCTAACGAGTCTGAAGATTACTTGGCGGTGAGAACGTGCCTCTGCGAAAGCAGTCTTTCTGTGGCAATGGTCTGTCTTTTCTTGTTGTTTTTACTGTGACCGACCGCACCCGACAGAACGGTACTTCGGATTCAAAGTAACGCCCAGGAGGGAGCGTTAAAATACAAATCAACCAATCAAATGGATAATTAAAGGATAGATCAGACCAAATTTACGAAAAATACCCTATGCTTAATTTCTCAGACACTACAGTTATTTTTGTTCCCCCAAACTCTTTACCTACTCCATCTCACCCAAATGACTGATTTCAAACCGACAATATCCTGACATCATGAATTTTAACTAACTCATGCAGGGATTTAACCTCACAGGCTAAACAGACGACGATGAAAAAATCTTATAGACCGACGGTTACCCCAGTGCTTTCAGTTGAAGCCCCTCCTATGTAGGTAAGTTTTCTTTCACGCCTCTCCTATTAGGGCAACACAAACGGGAACTGAAGAAGATAAAATTAATAATAATCATAGACGAAACATTGATAATTCTTTGCAAAGAATTGCGATAAAAATGTTCCATCTCGACGGATTTTAATGGGTTTGGAGGGTTGCAACGCTAATTTTTCTATTTTTGAACCCTGATCTTTGCGAGAAAAATAATTAATCCAATGATTTAAGTAGAACACAAAGAACAGCGAATTACGTACACGTTGCCATATGTCGTCATTTGACTGATTATTATACTCCATCAGCCACTTATCAAATTAAACATTTTCGTCGCAAGAAAGTCGGCTTACATCATTAGTGGCTATTTTCAATGTTTTTCTTTTTCGAAATAAAGTAGACATTACGTATGTATCGCAGAATTTTCCATTTCTTTCCGTTCAACCACATTCCGCATCGTTAGAAACTCTTTTACTTTAACCAAGATGCTGAGAGAGCAGTTGATTCATATACCTACTCAACACCAGCCCTTGGGTAGTGGTTTAAGAATATTTGTTCGCCGTGCTTCGCGCTACAATGAGCGTGTATTCGATAAAATACCCGGTCTTCCGTTTTACATGACACAGCCACCTTGTCTTACAGTGTAAAAGGAAGTCATTACATCTGCCGAGTCAGGTAACCATAAAGGTCACTTCCTTTAATGCTGCCACTGGATACTGTCCTTTTGACGCCAAGTCAAGTTGTGACGATCTTTCGGTGAAAAATGGCCGTTTCATCGAAATTGGTGGTTTTGGACTTTGTCATCATTTAATATACCGTATAATGCTACTATATTTGAGCAGTGGCATTTATCTAAGGTACATGACGTCATAAAAAATAGGGAGTTTTATTTTAATTCTTTATCAACATACTGAAATATCAGACAAATTCTTATTTTTTTGCGTTCACGACTCTTTATTGAGGTAAACAATATAGGAACTCTTATCGGAACAACATAAGTTGGCCACAACAAGAAACAGAGGTGGTCGATTTAACGGGGTTTCACTTCCAGAATTATAATGAATCAACCTGATACATTTGGTAGGTGACGGTTCAATCAGTGGTACGTGCGTCAGGTTCAAACCAAAGACTAACCCAACCACTAGGTCGGAATGACTAATGACACGCGGAAAATTGATTCGTGATCGAACCACAAGAACCCTTGATTAAATAGTAATGGAAGTAATGGATGCGAGTTTGTCGTAATTTCCTAGTCCGATGACAAATGTTTCAACTACGCACGATGAAAAAATTTTAATGTAAAAAAATTCGAATTGTATTTGATCTATGCAATAAGACGCTAATGTCAAAAATCATATGTAAACTGGCTAAGCTGACTCACTCACTCACTCACTCACTCACTCACTCACAGCCTCTGCTATTTGGCCAAGAAACGGCGTGAATTTGATCGTTTTCGTATATACCCGGCATGAAGAGGCCACATACTCTCCCGCTGGCGATAACGTTGAATCCTTCAGTTTAGATTGTTGAATCGATCATAAATGTGATATTCCGTTCGGAAAATGACTTATACACGGCACAAAGTACACTTGGCCCCGCAAAAAACCAACTAAATAAGATTTCTGTAGTCTTGAACCGCAGATGTCTTTACCTTCCCTTAAGAGTTTCCTGGTTCGTTGCGTTGTTCAAGTTTGAGAGCCTTTTTCCACCACCAGCTCTTCTGGTTGTCGCTCAATAAAATGGCGATGGGATGGACTCAGCGCTATATATTTCGATCAGCTCTGGTTGTCGCTTCAACAGTTACAACAGGGACGGAGTTGGATCAAGTCATCCTTGTAATCTGTGATAATTGTCCCACACTTCTCCAACCCCCCTTATAAAGTGTAATTACCGACAAAATTTAAGACATTCTGTTATGACATTAAGACATTCACTTATGATATTGAGATACTGAGTTATGATATTGAGACATTCAGTCATGATATTGAGACATTCTGTTATGACATTGAGCCATTCACTTATGATATTGAGCCATTCACTTACGATATTGAGACATTCACTTATGATATTGAGACATTCAGTTATGATATTGAGACATTCAGTTATGATATTGAGACATTCAGTTATGATATTGAGACTTTCTCTTATGATATTGAGCTATTCTCTTATGATATTGAGCCATTCATTTATGATATTGATACACGACATACATTCTGTTAAGATATTGAGACATTCAGTTATGCTGTTCATGGCGGACAACTTACAACGGATAAGAAATCAACTGATCCAGGGACTCGCAACAATTCTTTCGTAGTTGAATGTGGAAAATTTAGAGAACGACCGCCTTGATAGCTTTCAGTTTCGTGTTGATTGGATTTATGGTCTAATTGTCAGATATCAAAGACTTGACGTTATCGATGACCGAGTGGTTGCTTGTAAAAGGGAGGCCAGAGACTGTATTCATAGATCTATTATATGCTCAGGCACACTCTGCAGAGCGGGTCTAACTTTCAACGGCGAGATAAGTAGACCTAGATTTGAAATACCATGTGCGCAGTTAGAATTTTTTGTCGAAAAGGGATTTAAAGTTGCGGCCTAGACCTGCCTGTTGCAACTTGTTTTTAATGATCTGCTAGGGACTGCCATGTTCTCTTTATCTGTTAAACAAAACAATTCGTGCGTCCACGTATCTCGTTTGCAGAACACTACTGTTAGGTTCCGTTTCCTTCTTTTAGTAGCTGGAGCTAACGATGCCGACGCCAACTGCTGTCTGTTGCTGCTTGAGAAACTAGTTAAACTTTCGCGAGCCGTGTACGGCTGAAGCAACTTTCGAAAAATTTCCAGCACTCGTCCGTTGGTTTCCCGTCCACTCACTGCACCGGCTACTGCATCGTTCCTTGGAGAACCATTCTCGGGGCCCTGAGATTCATTTTCTCTAATAAGACAGGTCGCTTCTTCTAATAAATTCACCGCTCTTTCAAGAAAAGCCGCCATGTTTCCAACAAAGACAGGACGACTGACAGTGGATATATTAACATAATCATAATTTTGGCGGGAAATAAATTATCTTGACCAAAACTCGTTTCTGAGTGTCATGACGAACTGCATGTTACCATGTCAGAACACCATAATGAAATGCACGCTATGAAAATGACAATTCACAAAAGCAAAACTATTTGTCCCAATATCGATATTGAAGAAGACAAAAATGAAATGGCAAAAAGCAAAGTCTAAAAGCCGAACGCCAAGGCAGTGACGAATCAGCTCATTACAAACGCAAATTAGTCAAATTTAGTAAGGAAGTAAGTAAAGACTTTATTTAAAGAGGGTAGCACTAAAATAGTAAAAAATACTAACAAACCCGTGGCCCTCTAAAACTATGTACAATACGGATGTTAAAAACTATGGCATAACTATGAGATAATAAAACGAATAAAATACAAGAGATGAGATAAAATCAATTAATAGTACAAATGTATAACTAAATCACAGAATAAAATTATTTTAAAGCAGCTGTTCTTCAAAGAATTTTTTCCAAAGAGAGTTCCTAAAAGAATTTAGCGACGCTATTTTCCACATGGATAGCGGTGAGCTGTTCCAGGCTTTACAGGCAGTCACAGTAAATGTTCTTCCTCCTTCAGTTTGACAGTTGATAACAGGGCGAGCAATATTGAAGTTGGCATACCTAGTCTGCCGTGAATGAGTGTCGCTAGTAAGCTTCATTAAACTTTTAAGATAGGTAGGTACATGCCCCTGTACACGCTTGTATATAATACAGCATTTAGTTAGTTTAGCATGTTCGAAAAATGGTATCCAGTTTAGTTTATTGAACAGTTTGACCGAGGAGGCTTGACAATCGGCGTCTAGAATAACTCTAGCAGCCCTTTTCTGCAACTTTAGAACACGGTTAAGGCAATGTTTATCACAGCTCGTCCAAACCACATTTACATAATCAATTACCGGTCTTATCATGGCGTTATAAAAAATAAGTCGATGTTTTAGAGGTAGACAATATTAAATTCTCTTTAAAATGCCTATCCGCTGGGAGAGCTTTTTACTCAATTTCTCCACATGAGGGATGAATGTTAGTTCGTGGTCGATTTCTAGTCCCAAAAGCTTTGCACAACGAACATTCTCAAGTTGTTTTCCATTAACAACTACAGCATGGTTGTGGCTAATTCCGGTAGAGAGTCGCTTGCCAGTAATGGTAAGCACTTTTGTCTCGCTCTCATTGAGAGGAAGTTAATTAGCTGTTGCCCATTGAGTCGACCTCAGAAATTGCTGTAGTGAGTGAACTTTGAAGAACATCAACGGAGTCAAAGTTAGCAGCGGAGGTAAAATATTTAATAGCATATTGTCATAACACAAGGTCCATCGGTCCCAATAGCACGACTACATATCTCAATATCATAAGTGAATGTCTCAATATTATAACTGAATGTCTGAATATCATAACAGAATGTCTCAACATCATAACTGAATGTCTCAATATCATAACTGAATGTCTGAATATCAAAACTGAATGTCTCAATATCATAATTGAATGTCTGAATATCATAACTGAATGTCTTAAATTTTGACGGAAATTACACTTCATACCCCCTGACCGACCTCTCTCTGGGGCCTCTTTGCAGCTCACCATGAGGTTGAAGATGGATGCACTCTAACGTGATCTACAGATGGCTAAAGGCTGATAGTTTCGAAAGAAACTGTTTGGGGCTGCGTCGGTGGGAGTAACGAAATAATTTGGATATATCAACAAAGTTGAAATGGTAAATTTGCCACCGTAATGATTACAAAAGCTGACGTTTCGAGCGTTAGCCCTTCGTCGGAGCGATGGCTAGCCTCGGATTTCATTTTGCAAGGAAACGTTTGGCAAACTTGGGCTCCGTTTAATTGAAAATTGGTGTCCTACATTTGTAGTAAACGTTGCTTGAACCTGACGAACTAAATAGGAACTACGATAAGTGAATCTTGCATATCAAACACCTTTTATATGTTTAAATCCAGCTAATATTTCTCTCTCGGGGGTTTTTAAAGATCCAAGGCTACATGCGCTTCATTTGAAAAAGAAGGGGCGATGGCGAAGATACTCTACATGTTGATATTTCTATATGACATCCACAGTTTTTACATATAATGACTTCTCCTGATAATTTACTTTCCCGGGACAGAATATTTTTTAATAACTAAGCATGATGTTTGATCATTTTGCCGTGTTCAGTTCTCCCTACGAGGAACAGACCAAGGTGTTTACATCACCGACATTATCAGTCCGTCCTTAACCCCGAATTCTTCCTTTCACCACCAAAGCTACATCTCCGAAGATTCTATACATTTTTTTTAAATAGTGGGCAATTATCAATCGTTAATTCCTTATACCTTAAATTCTTCGAAAAAATTGTTCATCTCGTAAGCAAGAATCCACATCTGTTACGTAATAGTCAAATTTCCAAAAGTATCATCAACCGTCTCGTTTTCAGCCCTTCACATAACCTAGGCCTGAGTTAAAAAACTGATAATGCTTAAATAACGCTGTGCGGGTCACCACCTGCTTTGCATCTTCTTGTTGCTTCAAGGAATCCTGAAAAAAGAATGAGGTAAAGATAAATGCTACAGAACGATTGCCTGAAGATATAAGCTATGGTTTTACAATCAAAGTAATCACTCGCGCACCAATTAACCCTATTCGTACCAGTTTTCTCTTCATGAAAGACGATCTGAGTGCTCAAAGAGAGAACCTTAACTAAGTAACAAAAAAAGAAAAAAAAGGAAAAATCAAAAAGTAAAAAAAATGCAATTTTCTGGTATACCTTTTGGTGGCTGTCACAGTGATCTCCAGTTTGGTACGCAGGCCCCGCGCCTGAATAGGAACTGAGTGGCAATAAGTTGAATCGAGGTGGATTGGGTGCTAACGGCATAACTTTGTGTTGGTCGTGGGAGCCTGGGGAAGGCCGTTGTGTAACTCCAAAGGAATGAGAAAAGTGCTTGTCAAGACTGGATAAGACGCCGAATAAAACCTGAAAAACAAAGGGGTATGAAAGAAAATTTTTTACACGAAATATGGCATTGAGTAGAGTTTTGACTCAAGTAGCCAAGCTCACATCTCAAAATGTCCAAATTTGGCTTCGAATGCTTTCATGAGAACAAAATCAAATTTAGGCCATTGGCGGAAGGTATCTGGTCACTTCGCCGACATGTCAGCCCGTCGACAAAAATTTTAATGAACTCGCTGACAGTCGTCTTTGGTCAACTCACCAATATACTTGTCAACAAAGGCTGATAGTTTCTAAAGAAACTGTCTGGGGCCGCGTCGGTGGGGGTAACGAAA